TAGTAGTAGTAGTAGTACTACACACACACACACACACACACACACACACACACACACACACACACACACACACACACACACACACACACACACACACACATAGCCACTACATGAGCACAGATGCAGAAAAGCGGATGACCTATCAGTCAGAAGGATCCAGCAACAAGGAGCTAATGTTAGGTTGGATTTTCAAAAATGCCTGATGGGAATTAGGCACCTAAACACTTTTGAAAATCCTACTATAAAGCCTTTTCTACTCCCAAAGTTAAATGCTTCTGCCTGGAACACAAACCCTATAGCCAAATTCTGCCATATGCTGACATTGGAGACCGTGTACATCTCTAGATCCTGAACCTGCAACTGTGCATGGCTGAACAATCCTTGCTCACTGAGAAATCCTCGAATTTCAATGAAACTACATACATCAGTAAGGATAGCTTACATGAATGAGAGCTGCAAGACCAGGCCCCTGATTGGGAGTCAACCAGTGAGAAAGGCAGAGCATCTGCACTTTGCCAAACGATGTGTACTCTACGTGGGATGTGCTAATTTCCCTTTACTGCATTCTGATTTATAAGGACAATGAAATGTAACGGGTAGTGGGCAACTTACAGCATTCGATCGGATTAGATGCCGCTTGCAAAGAGACTATTCTGCCACTGGATTCAGGGATGTGCACACGGAAGACAAGCCGCACCCTGGTGTTCTTCCTACCAATGTCCGTCTCCCCCTTCCGCAGTTCAATGTCCGCGTTCCTCAGCTTCAAAATCCCTGCACAGTCAATGCTGACAAACAAACAGAAAACATGTTGTGTATGTGTGTCAGTGTTTCTGCTCTCAAACATTTCAAAGACATTTGAAAGACAAAAGAGGGCTAAACCATTTTGCCTCAATGATTTTGAAGAAGCAAAGATAAGAGAAGCCCTGAACTCTCTTTCCTTTTGTAATGTAGGTATTACAGTTAAAATGTTTTGAGCAACATGACTAGGCAGTTGTGCATCTAATTTGGGACTGCTACATGTGTGCAGATAGCTAGTTGCACACCTAAACTGTGCAGCAAGTGCAATGCTCAGATACTATGATGATTAACAGGATATCAGTACATAGATAGATAGAGTAGATAGGATGTGTATGTAATCATGGTAACTGCACAATCAAATGAGACACACAATGCATGCAAATTCTCCTGAAAATTTGTATGTACAAACTTAAAACTAAAATAAAATACATGATGTACTATAGGGGTTACAACATAGGACTGGGTGTCAGAATTCTAATTCCAGCTGTGATACTGGACAACTTTGGCAAGTAATATTCCTTCTGGGCACCATATGTAAAATAGTGATCACTCTTCCCTGCACTACAGAATTGTTACCAGGCATTTGAGATCCTCAGACTGTACTACTAAGTGTTGCAGGAAGCATGGCTATTAAAAAGGTATTTTAACCTCAGCTTTAAATGCAGGTTTTATTCATATAAAGTTAACATCAACAGTTTGGAGACCTGGATCCAAAATCTGTTTCCTACAAAAAATATTTGGTCATGATAGTAGCTTATGATTTTTTGCCATGCATATTAGTTTATTATTGTAGGGTTGCTCATGAAGGAGTGGCAGTTTACCCTCATTTTGGTTGTAGGTTTGTTTAAAGCTTGGGATGCTGACTTTTATTTATTGATGTTGAGGTGGGAGGAGAGAAAGGGATGATGGAGCATTTGTTTTGGAAAAAAACAGAAGAATCATGTGGATTTTGCGACAAGGTACAGTTTTTAAATAAACAGGGTAAGGTTTGAGCCTCTACCAACTTTGCCCATATCCATTTAAAATGGTGGACTATTCCCTTTCTCTAAACCATCCTATAGCTGTTTGGAACATATTCAAGCTGAAATTTAAGATTGGCTTTTCTGTTGCTCTATTTATATATTACAAAGATAAGGGGAGGGAGTATGGCCTAGGAGATAGAGCACTGGATTGAGGACTCAGGAGATCTGAGTTCTACTTCAGGCTCTGCTGCTGGGTAACCTTGAGCAAGAGGCTTCACCCCTCAGTTTTTCTACCTGAAAAATGGGAATAATGAGACTGATCTCCTTTGTAAAGCACTTTGAGATTGACTGATGAACAGTTCCATGTATCAGCTGGGTATTATTATTAGCATTGTACCTTTGAGCTACATCGGCAAGGCTCTCTAGATTCCAAATCTACTCTCTTCAAAAAAGGGAGACTTTGTGAATCGTAACATGGCTTGCCAAATTCTGCGTTCTCACCAGATGATGTACAGCTGATAAGATCTACCTGTAACCCCTAATCCACCCCACATATCCTATGTCCCTCACTACGCTGCACAATATTTACACATTTCCTCTAGTTCATACCACTATTCATTGCTGCAGGGTTTCTCCCATCCCTGAAACATCATCATAAATTCTCCAAGCCCAAGTCATTCACACTGAGAACATTTATACCACTCTGGCATCGTAAAAAGGGCCTTAAGTGGTATAAGTTATAGTCACACCTAAAAATCTAGAACCTATCCCTAGCACAGGAAGTTGATTCATTTAAGTGATTCCTCCCCAAACAACACACATAAATTAATTCTGCCTTATCTCACATAGTAATAAGAGTTTTGCTGCAATAGCATCCTTACGTTGCTCTCATGTTGTTTTTGGGCTCCAGGGGGATCTCTAGAACTTTGGTGTTGCCTATGATTTTCTCATAGCTGGTGGTGGTAACAGTTTTGCCCGTAATGCGATGGACTTGATAGAAAGCATGAGGTTTAAGTATCCGTTCATCTGCTGTCCCAATGAAGATCTGAAGGCCCAGGGGTTTGTTCTCCATGTAACCATGAAGCTGTCAAGAAATCAAATCTATTAGCGCATGTTGTACTCCCAGTGCCCTCAGTCATGTAGACATTAAGACATATGCACAACACTAAAAGCAGTTCATCTCAACTCGTGTAAATGGGATTTTTTCCCCCCAGCAGCGTCTTCTGGAGACCTTGTTATACATGGAATACATCTAAGAAAAGATGAATGATTAATTATTCTTTGATTTTCAGTGGAGATAAGAAACCATATTGCCTCAGTATTGTTTTTGACTGCAATCTTTAAAAAAATCTGGGAAGTAACAGCGGAAGCTCTTGGCTGCTTGATTCAATCAGCCATTTTTGAAGCAGACAGACAGGAGGAGAGATACTGCTATTTTGCTCAGACTGGGTTTTGGAGCAAAGACCATCTTTTTGTTCTGTGTTTGTACAGCACCTAGCACACTGGGGTCCTGGGCCATGACTTGGGCTCCTAGGTGCAACAGCAAGATAGATAATAAAATAATAACAATAATAATAAACAAACACAAGTTTTTGAAGTACATTTGTTAAGAGATGAGCAAAACAGGGCTAGAATTTCTCTCTAGGCCAGAGACCAGGGAATATATATCTTTGTTTATTAACTTTAAAAATTATTAATCAAACCATTTGAAATTTCTCACATCACTGAAAATTAAAAACAGATATATCTACCACATAGCCAGGGATTTAGCTGAAAGGGAACTTTATGGCCTGAGGCATGCTAAATTTGTTTTCAATTACTTTGTCCGCATACAAAACCTTGATGAAGCCATACAAAGCAAACAGCACTGGAAGATCAGAGAACAAAACCATTAAGCTAATAGAATTCATGGCCAAAATCTTTTTTCTTCTTTTCACCAGTCAGCAGGAGGTATCTTTGCATAGAGTGATTAATTCACCCCCCTGGAAAGAGACCACATGCGGCATCAATGCATTGCTGGCAACCTCCCCTGGTATGGTAAATGTAAAGTAACACTCACAGTCCTCTGATACATTATGATTCACATAGCACATATTTGCCATGCATATGAAGACAGGATCCTTGTCCCAGAGATCTTACAACCTAAGGTCCCAATCTTGCAACCTTTACTCACATGAATGGTCCCACTGAAGTCAATGAAACGTATGTCCAAGAGAGTAAGGATCACTTGTGTGAGTAAAAGAGTTACTGGATCAAGCCCAGACACAGTTTGGTGCAATACATTGACAACAGTTCAGATGTAAGAAGGCCTGTCAAGAAGGTGTGAGTAACAGTAAGGGAAAAATTAGCATGGGGAAATAGTTTTTACTTTGAGTAATGACCCATCCGCTCCCAGTCTTTATTCAAGCCTAATGTAATGGTGTCCAGTTTGCAATTTTCCCCCCTACTGTTACTCACACCTTCTTGTCAACTGTTGGAAATGTGCCATCCTGATTATCACTACAAAAGTTTGTTTTCTCCTGTTGATAAATGATGACTCTTGTTACAGTTGGTATGGCCACACCCATTTTTTCATGTTCTCTGTGTATATATATCTTCCTACTGTATTTTCCACTGCATGCATCCGATGAAGTGGGTTTTAGCCCAGGAAAGCTTATGCTCAAATACATTTGTTAGTCTCTAAGGTGCCACAAGTATTCCTCATTCTTTTTGCTGATACAGACTACCACAACTACCACTCTGAATATAGGATCATCTCCCAAGGCCAAGGCTTAATTTTTACACTTCTTTCAACAAAGCAGAAAATACAAATCTGGATTTCAGGATAGAGACTGAAAGCTGAGAATGATTTATGATTAGAAAACCCTGACAGGATATTTTGGGGGGTATTATAAGGTGAGCTATTCACAATAAAACTCCCCCAAACTATATACAGATTGGACTGGAGAAAAAACAACTCTTTTGAGTCACATTTGCCACAAGGGGAAAGAGAAGCCAGACATGATGTGTACCTTTCCATACGCTATTTTGGGATTTTAAGATCCTATTTCTTTTAGTTTAAAAAGGGTTTTTTTTTAAAAAACAACTTTGCTTTTGCATAACTCTTATAATATTAACATAGTCAGACACGGGCTGGTTTGTGACCTGAGGAAATGCAAGGCACTTTGGCAGATAAACAAATAACATCATTCAGAAAACAAGGAGACTTTTCTTGTTTGGTTTGCGGCAGCAATTGGGTTTTATAAACAAAATGGAAATTTGTGGCATGATTTGACTCACCATTTCATAAACAAGGTTCATTCATGTATTCTACATTGCATCTCTATATCAATATCAGTTAAAAATGATGTCTATGTTTAAGTGCATTATGAGGTTTAGAATTGCACACCCATAATTTTAAATGCAAAAACTCTGTGCATTTGCACGTATATTACCACTGTTGTGTGTATGTGTAGTAGAAGTCCAACAAGCCATTTGGAAACACAATTACCATACAAAATTGCAGTAACTGTGACCACAAATTAGGCAAGCAAATGAACATGAAATTTTGCTTATGCCATTCTAAACAAATGGACCAGTACATCCTACAAATGGCTGTAAACACAGATCCAAAATTCCCCAGACCTTTAAGAGGGAATTTGAAATTCAAATCTAGATCCAGATCTGCATTGGCCCTTGTCCCAATATTTGGCTGAACCAAAATCCCAGTTCTGAATACTCTTCAACTTTGCAGGGTTTGAAAACCCAAACTCATCTCTAAAGTGTAATACAGTGCACTCAGAATAAAGCCCATCACCTGAGACTCAAGGGGTGAATCCTTTAACATTGCTCAGTTACTACAACTGAAAACTGCATGATAAACTTATAGTGTACATCAGTGATAGAGGGGTAAATTCCCTAGAGTGTTCCAAGTGTGCTCTCATATACATATTACATGTATTTGTGTCTATAGGGAATTTAGTCGGACCTTCTTTGAAATATATTTACTGACTTAAGTTTACATTGACCACCCTACAGCTTATAAACAACAGAGATTTACCCCTTCAAAGACACCACTCATATTATATTTGTTGTGAGATGTGAGTTGTAGCCCCTTTGTACAAATGGGAAACCTGATGATTTAAGTGATGTGCTTATGGTCATACAGTGAATTAGTAACAGGAGCTCCCTAGCTCCCACGGCTATGCACAGTGCAGTAGATCACACTAAAATAATTTGAAATGAATCTGGTATTCCAAGAATGAAGTTGTAACAATTGCTGACACCATTCCGCTCTGCTGGCCTTGCACTATTTATACGTCAGTATTTGTTACTTGATGTTTTTGTCTTCTTTAATTTGTAGACTTTTGGGGCCAAATTTGTAGTGGGCTTCTGTTTGGGCACCTGCACATTAGAAAATTACACACCTGGCTGCCTGTTGAATGAAGGCAAATTGTGATGAGTTTTGCACTAAGAAAAGTGGAGACACCTGCAAATCTTGTGGGCACCTTTTGGGAGCCCCACAGAAAATCTGGCCCCGTGTGATAGAAGTGCAAGTTGCATGACAGAGTGAATATCATGGAGAATTTTTGTTTCCCCTTCATCCCAGCAGAGCTTCTCCTAGTCTGAATTTGCAGATCTTTCTCCCTGGAGGGGGATAAGGCTGCATCTTTAAAGCTGATCACATACATCTTCCTGTCTAGACAATGCAAGCCACTGCCAGAAGGAAAGTATAAAATAAGCGAATAAATTCACTGAACCTACTTATCAAAGATCTACAACCTATCCTGAAAGATGATCCCTCACTCTCACAGATCTTGGGAGACAGACCAGTCCTCGCTTACAGACAGCCCGCCAACCTGAGGCAAATACTCACCAGCAACCACACACCACACAACAAAAACAAAAAGAACAGGAGTACTTGTGGCACCTTAGAGACTAACAAATTTATTTGAGCATAACCTTTCGTGGGCTACAGCCCACTTCTTCAGATGTATAGAATGGAACATTTAGTAAGGAGATATATATACATACAGAACATGAAAAGGTGGAAGTAGCCATATCAACTCTAAGAGGCTAATTAATTAAGATGAGCAATTATCAGCAGGAGAAAAAAGACTTTTGTAGTGATAATCAAGATGGCCCATCTATTTCCCCATGTTAAGTATCCTCACACCTCTTGTCAACTGTCTGAAATGGGCGATCTTGATTATCACTACAAAAGTTCTTTTCTCCTGCTGATAATTGCTCATCTTAATTAATTAGCCTCTTAGAGTTGATATGGCTACTTCCACCTTTTTATGTTCTGTATGTATATATATATATATATCCTTACTATATGTTCCATTCTACGCATCCGATGAAGTGGGCTGTAGCCCACGAAAGCTTATGCTCAAATAAATGTGTTAGTCTCTAAGGTGCCACAAGTACTCCTGTTCTTTTTGCAGATACAGACTAACACGGCTGCTACTCTGAAACCTGCCAGTTTTGTTTGCTTGAAACTAATCAGCTCTCTTGCTCATTTCAGTTCACCACAACCTGAGGGCTGGTCTGTTAACTATTGCATATTACTTGCCAGCTCCCTGTGGAAGTCATTTCAGCTTCCCTCTGAATGAGATGCGTGCATACGTGTGTGTGTGTGGTGTGTGTGTGCGCGCGCACTTGCGGTCAGCTTTTAAAATAATGCACTGGTGATTCAGAGAGATATTCATCAGCCTCTGGTGAAAAATTTGGAAAACAGACCTGTGCTGGTTACATTCAATTAGAAGTAAATACAAAGCAGCGTGAGAAATCGCTTCCGCCTACTGCTTCCCTTTTCCTGCTGTACACGAAAAGATAAGAAAACACTTAGAAGCTCTCTCCTAAGTTTACAAGGAGTAGCATAGGATTTCAGCTTGCAGCTCCCGCTAGCTCAAATTGGATCTGCATGCCTGCTAAATTCCATACTCTCCTTTTAGACATGGAGAGGGGTTTCCACGTGAAACCAATGGCTCTCAACGTTTTTAACAATGAACTATTTCCCCATCCAAATTCTTCATCTTCCCTGTGTCTATTAAAATGCTCAGCTACATGAAAAGTAACATTAGGACACTACTGAGGAGACAG